GGGTCGGTCTAGTGGTTAGTGTGAGGGGAGGGGCTGGGAGCCAGGACTCCTGGGTTCTCTCCCTGATGCTGGGAGAGCGGGGGTCGGTCTAGTGGTTAGTGTGAGGGGAGGGGCTGGGAGCCAGGACTCCTGGGTTCTCTCCCTGATGCTGGGAGAGCGGGGGTCGGTCTAGTGGTTAGTGTGAGGGGCGGGGGTCAGAGCCAGGACTCCTGGGTTCCCTTGCTCTGCGTCTATCCCAGCTCCGCCCCTCTCTCCCCAGGGTTCTCGCTGGGCTCCACCATCCAGTCGCACACCAAGGGCATCTGGATGTGGTGCCTGCCCCACCCCAGCCGGGCCGGCCACACCCTGGTGCTGCTGGACACCGAGGGGCTGGGCGACGTGGAGAAGGTGAGTGGGGGGGGGCAGCATATGAGAATCAGCCAATTTGCGGAGCAGGATGGAACGCCCCTCGGCACGCAGGGGCTGCTGGGACTTGTAGTTCAGGGCAAGGCATGCTGGGAAAGGGGATGGGGTATTTAAGGAGCTCCCTCTGCGAAGGGACAGACTCAGCGAGCCCCATGTAGGGGAAGGAGGGGCTGTCTGATGTGGGGTGACGCCCTCTGAGGGGGGCAGTGCCAACTCTGGGAGGTCTGGGGATGCCGTGGCGGGGCTGGAACGGGACGCCCAGGGGCATGGCTGGAAACGCTTGTCCTCTCCGGGGAGAACTGTTGAGATATCGAAAATGTTTCCCATCCCGAATCGTGATGAAAAATTAAAATGGGGCGAAAGTGCCAGGGCCTGAAAATCGGAAACGTGTCCTGGGTCCGGGTCACGCAAAAAACTTGGATCATTTTCAACCATTTCATTTTGATTTTCCACCTTTTTATTTTCTTTCTTAACTGGGTCTAAATTTACCAAAATGTTGGCAACGAGATGTCGCTTTGCCTTGCAAAACAGCAAGTTTCTGGTTAGACAAACGGCCAGTCGGGCTATTTCCACTATTCTGAAAATTTTTCCCCAATAATTTTTCAAGTTGGGAAATTCACCTTAACTGACCCTGTTTCACCAGTGATTTTGGTATCAACAATTCAGTGTTCTTCAGTGACAATTTTGTGACCCACTCTAGTAGTGGAGGGCAGGCCTGAGATTTGGGGGAAGCCAGCTTCAAATCCCTGCTCCACAGACCCCCTGTGTGACCTTGGACTCAGTTTCCCCACCCCGCCTGCCAGAGGGAGTGTGACGATAAATACATTCGCTCTGGAGAGGGGCTCAGACATGGCCAATAAGATGGATCCTTGGAGAAGGATCCTGCAGCCTTGGCCATATGTTGGCTTCGCTCTGCGCTAGGTGGAGGCAAGAGTCGGTATTGCCAGCCACTAGGGGGCAAAAAAAAGTCGGGACCCGAAAAATGCACGAGAGCAGCTGAAAACCCCACGCCCTGCAGGGGGGCTGCTGCACCTGGACCCCATGGGACGGGGTGGGGAGGGGGTTGTCGCCTTCCCAAAGTTTAAATAGAGCCACGTGGGTTATAAACTTACTTCAGTAAAAGAAGAGCAATGTGAACTCCCACCCTCTCCCGTGCCTCTGGGAGCTGGGGATTTAACGGGGTGGGAGAGGGTAATACGCCAACCCCAAATAGCGACTCTCCTGGCTCCAAGAATGGGAATTCATTGTGGCCTGAATTGGGACTCCGGAGAGCTGGGGGGCTGTTCCACTGGCCACCCTGCCCCCATGCCTCAGTTTCCCCATCTGTGCTGTGGGGCTGGCAATCCTGCCCTGCTGTCCGATGGCCTTTGAGCTCTGCGGCTGGGACACACTCAGGACGGTGACGGTGGGTGTCATTCCAGGGTGACGCGAAGAACGACACGTGGATCTTCGCGCTGGCCGTGCTACTCAGCAGCACCCTGGTCTACAACAGCATGGGCACCATCAACCAGCAGGCCATGGACCAGCTGCAGTATCCTTGCCTGGGGGCCGGGGCTGAGGGAGCTGGGGGGGCCTATGTCCCTGAGGAAGGGCCCCACAGTTCCATCCAAATTCTTGACCCGCAACGAAATCATGACCCACGGCGCAGGGTGTGCACCACGGCGCCCTCTAGTGGCCACTCCGTGTGGTGGGTAACAACCCACTACTGCCACCAGCTGGCGGAGTCGCTGCTTTAGCTCCAGTGCGGTAGGGGGCTGCTCTGGACCCTGGGGGTGGTGGGTTCGATCCCTGCTTCCTGGTGTCGTAATGGAATATCCTCCCCATCCCCCGGTCCCTTCTGAGCCCCCGTTGCAGGTGGGTTGGGGGGCCCCGGGGGAGCATGACCACCCTGCGGGGGGGCTGCGTTTCCAGTTCCTTAGCCAGCCCCCAGCTACGTGGCGGAGCTGACGGAGCGCATCAAGGTGAAGGCGGAGGGCAGGGGCGGCCGGCAGGAGGGGAAGGATTCGGCCGAGTTCGTGCGGTTCTTCCCAGCCTTCGTGTGGGCCGTGCGGGATTTCACGCTGCAGCTGGAGCTGGACGGGCGGGAGATCACCGAGGACGAGTACCTGGAGAACTCCCTGAAACTAAAGCCAGGTAGGGGAGTGGTGCTGGCCCCAGGGTGGCACTAGGGGGCGCTGTGCTTGCAGACGGGGTGACTTTTGCGCGAGACACAAACCCAAGCTGTTGACACCTTGCAGGGGTTACCGGTCCCTGGGAGTTGGGGCGTTTGCTGTCCCGGCCACGTTCCAGCTGGGATGGTTCCCCGGCTCCCCTCAATCCCCTGTGGATATCGGGGTCTCTTCCCCCCAGGGGAATCTGTCCAGCAGCCTCTGAGCTGCCCCCCAGAAGCAGCCGCATGTCAGTGCAGGGCTGCTGTCCAGCTCCCGTCTCCTCCCCAGGCAGCAGCCAGCGAGCCCAGCTCTACAACCTGCCCCGCGAGTGCATACGCCAGTTCTTCCCAGCCCGGAAATGCTTCGTCTTCGTCCAGCCGGCTGACAGGACTGGCCTGCCCCGGCTGGAGGAGCTGCGGGAGGACGAGCTGGACTCCAAGTTCCGGGAGCAAGTGGTCCTATTCTGCCACCACATCTGGGAGACGTCGCAGCCCAAGACCCTCCTGGGCGGCCATGTGGTGACCGGGGCCCGTAAGTGTGCATAGCCCTTGGGCTGGGGCGGCCACGGAGTCAGAGGGCCGATGGCCTGGAACTGCTCCGAACGAAGCCAGCCAGGATTCTGGTTTAGCCTCTCTCACCAGGGCAAGATGCCTACACCGCTTCGGCCTTCCTGGGTCTGACCTCGGAGCGTTCAGCCCCCTGTTCTCCCCGAGCTCCCCGCAGCGAGTCCCCCTGGGGCAGCCAAAGGGCCCTGCCCCCCCTGCAGCCAGCAGCGACTCCCAGCCAGCGAGTGACCCAGACGGGTTATTAGTCGTGGGGAACCCAGCGTAGAACAGAGCTTGTGAGCACAGGGAGTGGGAACATTCAGTGAAGTCCATCTTGGTGGGAGGGGAGCCCAGAGCCAGGGCTTGGCCCCCCCCCCCCGCCCCCAGACCTCAAGCTGCCGGGCCCCAACATGCCCGTTGCCTCCGATCTTTTGTCTCACTCCCGGGGCACAGTGTCACCTGGTTGCACCCTCTCCTGGCCATTGCCTACGAGGGTCTCAGCAAAAGTCACCCCCCCCATTCCCACCACCCAGGCTTTGGTGCAATACCCAGGGAAACTTTGAGGCATACACAGCATTCGTGCAAAACAGTCAGGCTCACATAGGCTCATGTACAACATAATGAGGAAAAACCCACTCCGTCACAGGGGGTCACCAGCTCCCCATGCGATGCTGGGGCCAACGGGGCTTGTGGGGTGCCCCCTGGCGCTGCCCCTGATCCCCTCCGGCCGCTCTGGGGAACCTGGCACTGACCCTGCCCCTCCGGCCGCGCTGGGCCCCCTGGCGCTGCCCCTGCCCCTCTGGCCGCGCTGGGCCCCCTGGCGCTGCCCCTGCCCCTCTGGCCGCG